ATTATTATTATTATTATTATTATTATTATTATTATTATTATTATTATTATTATTATTATTTAATCAAGAGTTGTGTAGTCACTGACAAACAGCTTGAAAAATAGTGTAATTCTGCAGGCCTATCATAGCCAGCCGCAAAAATCTAGATTATCACTAAATGGCAACACAGGGTTATTTCTATATATCTATAATCAGAAGGAAGTTAATAACATTTACTTTAAAATATTAGACAAGATTAGTATATGGCCTCTTAGTGTTTATTGTGATACCTTTGTTAAATATGTAATAACATACATTTAATATGTTTTGTATAAACAGATAAGTTTTTTTTCTTGTTAAATGAAATTAGACCTGTTATATTCCATCTTAAGGATTAAAAAAAACAATAGCTGGTTTGCTCACCACAGTAGGGTAAAATGTGACTGCTTAATTTTGTTGCTGAAGTGATGAGGGTGAATTCAGCCAGGACAGTTGTATAATTCTAAGCAACTTGGTTAAATAAGTACAGACAGAGGGAGAGTACTTTTCTTTTTGGTTTCTCTTATTTCCTAAAACTCAGGTTCATTGCATTCACATATGGTGCTAGTCTGTTTACGAATCCCCAATAGTTGGAAGATTTTTGCCTTCTTTTGGATTTCTCTGTCAGTTCTAACTGAGTCTGTATAGACTACTAATTCCTTCATTTAATTAGTGGAGGAAAGTGAATAATCTTTGTCCATCAGCTTTGCCTCCTTGGGCCATATTGGTTCCCACTGAAATAAATTATAATAATGTTATAGACTACTAATACAAAGGATTTATACATAGCAAAGCAAAGCCAGGGTTCTCTCAAGAATCTTTATATATATAGTGTAAGTAGAACATATTGCACATAGTTGTTTCAGTACTTTTTAAGATACCTACAGTTCTAAATATATGGAAAAATCTGCAAATTAATGTTAACAATTGTCCATATACAATATACTTTTAAAATGTGCTTATCATGGGAAGGACTCTGATAAAACTTTTCAGAGTTTCTTTGCTGAATAAAGTCTTCACAGAAAACAATGCAATGAAAAGGGGAAGATTACACTTTTAAATTAAGCTCTGTCGATATTAGGCTCTTTGTGTAAATGTGCTAAGGAATAGGAAATAGGTTTTGAAGCAGCAAAGCTGTGTAGTTACTGCATATACTACATAAAGTGCCACATATATATGAGTTCTCTGTAGAACAGTTAGCTTAACACCTGGATAATAGATTACTATAGAATGTTAAAATAGATAGAAGGTGAAATCTGTCAATGTAGGACTATAAACAGTGGGATCCTACAACCATTTGTCTCAGTAACCTCTTAAACATGTTTATGATGAGCTTGCATTAAAAGTGAGTTGTGAAATACAGTATCCATGTTTACTGATAAACATGCAGCTGTTGAGAGTAATAAAGGAAAACAATGTAAATCTGCTTCCTATCAAAACAAAACTGCCCAGAAATATAATAAACAAAAACTTTTGTTGCCATGGATTAACCAGAGATTAAATATTAAGGATAAGACTCAATAGTCAAAGACTATCAACATGCACTGAGTGAGAGTACTTTCTTACAAAACTGGTTTTCCATTTTTATATATTTCTTCACCATTTCTTTTTTGGTTTAGCATTAACACTTCTGGTTAAAAAGACATTCCTTCTTCAAATAGCTTTAGCTGCTCCAGTAAAAGTGCTTGTATATCTGGGGAGAATTGGGATATGCAGAGAACATATTACTTTGTATCTCGATATTATCGGGACATCATCCAAACCACAATCACTGCTGAAATACCAATGGGAATGGTACTGACGAGGAGGCTTGGACTCTTATTGCAGAAATCTCTTTGGCAGCAAAGGTGTCTAAAACTGTCAACGCTAAATTCCTGGGCTACAACATCCTTGCTGCATTGTGACATTTTCCAGCACTTGTATGTTCTCAAATTCACTGTAAAGTAAATCAAAATATAAATTGAGATTTATTTTGCGTCTGATGAAATGCAAGCAAGATATACATTTTCACACAAAGAAAAATTACCTATTTTGCCACTAAAAGTATAACATGGAATGTTATTTCAAATAACCGTTTAAAAACAAATCATTTCCTTGATTTCCATTAGCTTCCTTTTCCAATATTTGTCTTATCATATGTAGATCCAGAAATTAGCACATACCTCCTCAGAGAAGTCCATACATGTTTTTTAGAAGGACTGTAAATCCATGAGAGCAGGGGT